TCTATAAATTCATAGATATATAGAGTAAATTTGAAAAATGTAACGATAAAAATAACTGTTAAATTCGTTACTCGTTACCGAAAAATGTAACAAAGTTACTTTTTTCGTTACAAAAAAAATTTGTAACGCCGTTACCGTTACAGTTACCGAAAAAAAGTAATTGTAACGGTAACGGCGTTACAACCCGGTAAAAAATTTTTCATATATAATCATGTAGCATTTAATAGAGTTATACAATATTTTTACATAATTGTGTAAAAATATGTATAATTATACATGACGAAATATAAAACGTTATATATATATATATATATATATATATATATATATATATATATATATAATATAGAATATAATAATATATATAAAACAATTCATACAATTGGGAAGGGGAAAAGATTAAACGTTTATTTATACTTTTTTTACTCCGTAATAAAACGTCATAAACTATACAGTATTAACATCAAATGATCGCAATCTGAAAACATTTACATAATAGGAAGATGCGATAACACATAGTGCAATGCGATAACGCCGTATTATGTGCAAAATCTATACATAACAAGAGCGAGAAACAAGCGTAAAACGATTTCTTCGTTCTCGAATAACAAACTAAAATTTCTCGTTTTCTTTTTACACGCGCTTAACCTCATCTCAAAACTATCTTCTGTCTATTAACCACAGAATCGTATAATTCATAAAATATTTGTGTGTCTTAAAGATAACAAACTCAATAGCATCTTCTCTGAGAACAGACGTATTCAAGCACAGAGTCTAATTTAACAAATATAAAATCGATTCTTCGATTCGACGAGCACTCGACAAATACATATCCTACGAAATTATAAAAATTTTTATGATTTTGACTCAACATTTGAGCATTCGTATTTGAATGCTAGTATACTTAATATAATCTTTCATAATAGGTACACAGTACGATTTAATTAGCATAAAACCAAAACAACTTTCGTTGTTAAATGTACTCAATCAATTTCGTAAAGATTGAAACAAACATCTGGTAAATTTGTCCTCGGTTTTACATACTTTTACGTCGAAACTGAATCCCAAGTTAGAATATAATCACGACGATCGTACACACGTGACGCGTAGTACACATTTGCTGGACTCAGGCTTGCTTTTAGCACCAAAGAGTGTATCGTGAAAAGTTTCGCGCTTAGTTTCGCAATAAATAATGCCCGGAAATATGTATTTCAAAATAGATATTTGCGAAAAGTCAATCGTAGCAAAAAGCTTACTCGCGACTCTACGTTAAAAAATCCTCTTATCAAAGTCTAAATGCATATCAAAGAACGGCCGTTCGTAAATAGCGCGGCGCGAATAAATACGTTTAGCAAAATTTTCCAGGAAAAATTCTGTCGAAAACAACCTATCGCAGTTGATAGGTTCGCGATAGACTCTCGACGTTACGCGTTTTCCGTACCGTGGAAGAGAAAGAGGCATTGCCCGCTCTCTTCTTTAGCAATCTGGCTTCGGCTATTGAATCATGTTTACCTGATAAACATGCTCAATATTCACAACGAACGCGACAGCTTTTTAACTTTGGTCCTCCAAAAATTGTCCAAGCCTCACACGATTCTCATATGGCAGTGCTGAAACTGTGATTCACTTATTTACGAATACGCGGATACGATTTTGTTCAAAGGCGATTTCATCGTGGAGCATTTTAAAAAGTATTTTACTGCTCCACGAGTGACAATATCGAAATGTTTTCAGTCTTACAGTTTCAAAATAAAGAAGCTCGCATCGGAATAAAATTTTCTCTTCTATTAATTCCGCAAAGTCTATTATTTTATTGTCCAGACTGTTGAAACGTTATCTTCTTTAAATATGTTCAATTATTTCAATCGTTTTCTCCATATGCACACGTTACTACGTGATACATTTTGTTAATTGAATAAAACGAAGAAAGACCAAGAATTTCAGAGTTCAAAGCGCTTCTTCCTCTCAGCAACCATGCCCACGGCGGGTAGCGGAGGATGAAGTGGATGATGGTAACTCGGCGTGGGTGTTGGGGGCAGGCTGCGACAACTTCTGCTGGACCACCTCACTGCTGGAGACCTCATCAGCTCTGTAACAAACAAACGTATGATAAATGTTTTCAATTGTAAGGATCTCTCAAGATGCAAAAGAACATGTACAGAAAAAAATACAAATGTAGAACTTTGCACATGACACAAAAACTATAACACGCAAAACACGAAAAAGACGCGAAGACGTGATGAACGTGAAAGCGAGCGGTGTGAACGGAATGATAATGCGCTTAGGTAATATTCGGAAAGCGGCAAAAAAGAAAAAGAAAGCAAACGGACCTGCAACGGAGAGAGCTGCGGGTTCCGGGGTGAGGCGGGATGTGTGACGAGTGTCGGCACGGACGGTGTATGCCTCCGAGAGTTGCTGCTGCTGCTGCTGCTTTTCATTCTGCTTGCTCTCCTGCCACCGCTGGGCGCCAGTGCCGTTGCTGACTCGCATCTCTGTTGTTGTGCCACCTTACATTTCAAATAATTGCCGAAATACTGTTACGCTCTCTGCATATTGTCACATAACGTCGCACGTTTCTTTTTTTTTTCCGCATAGCGTCGCGTTGCTTTACGAAAATATAGCGAGAAACATTAAAACTACAGTTATAAATCGCTAGAGATTATCTGTCGTATAATACTTTTACATCACATGCTTTTGATTATTATGGAATTACGGAAGAAGTTCGTTACATCTCCTTCAAATTTGATTTGTTACATTTTCCTCAAATTTAGTTCAAGTAAGCGTGTCTTTCAGTTTGTATATGCATATATTTCGGATATTGTAAGACGATGAAAAAATTTTGATTTTAGTTAGTTTTTGATTTTAGTAATTTGGGGTTGATTTAGTAAGCTTCCTCACTCAGACAATTGTTAAGCTACAATTAATGTAAACTGCGATATATCGCTAGTCGGGGATGCGCCAGTGACTAGATTTGTAATTGCAAAAAGTGATGGTTACTTCAATCGTTCGGAATCGCTAAACTTCCTCATAAAAATTCTGATATGTAAATCGTTTCACGCGAAAAGTCTCGCATAAACATACAGATTGCATGTCACCCGCGCATCCTTAGCATATTACATACGATACACAGCTAGTTAATAGTCCTCATGGAATGAACATTTATAGCTTATAGTGTTACACACCCACGATAAGGCAGAGTTACTTCGCATGTATTGCATATCGTGAAATCGTACACAACTTGTGTTAGCAAATAACCAGTGTTAGACAAGCGTTGCGTAATGATCGCGTATGGAATTGATATTAAATAATAATAGGCACGCTTTTGTTGTTAGTTATCAGTACAACTCATACAAGTAACGAATTAAGATTAATCGCCAATTTTTGTCGGTTTTTTTACATAAAATTCAAGGGAATAATTAACAATATTATTACAACAGGCGAAAAAAACTTAAACTTATCTATATATACATGCGGTAAGAAGCTCTGCATAGAAGTTAACAGTCGTCGCATTACTCGATAAATATTGCACAGCTATAGATTACGCACTAAGGAGATACAAGTTTTCGATGTCAGTCAGCGATATTTCAGCCGTGTTAATTTCTTAAAAGCATTGTTAATCTTTGTAAAACATGTTAGTTTCATAAGTCGTACGCTTTTCGCAAGAGAGTAACAAACAAATGGCGAGTCTCATCTGATTCCCGAGCCGTCTCACGATTTCCCGGCGTTTCATTAGAAAACAACGCGGTTTCTACTGCATGCAAAACATTTTTTTCTTCAATAAAGATGTTTGAGGCAACGCGATCACAAAGTAACAGCGATACAATGACAATAAAATGATGATTCCGTCAGTGAACGCAGTAATATTTTACAAAAGCAACATGAACTCTGCCCGACTGTCGACCGACAACGCATTCCACCACCGCAAACTCCTTTTTTCTCTCTCTCTCTCCCCCAGCATTCATCTTTCTTCTGTACCTTGATACTGATGAGGTAGGCCGCTCCTCGGTCTCAAGCTGTCCCACAACAGGCTGCTGTTACGTTCCTTTTGTTCAAAGCTCGACAGCGGCTCTTTCCCGTCAATGTGCGAGCCGGCGCTACTCGCCGGCCTAGCCAGACTACTCGAGTACGGCAACGAAACGGATTTTACGCGCTCGAGTCTGTACGAGAACGCGCTACGCGGCCGATCCATCGACAGCGATTGTCTTTGCAACACGCTGGACTGGCCGCTCGCCTCTTTCGGGCTCCGTTCGCTCGTTAATCTCGACTCGTTGCCGCTTCGGCTACTTCGGATACGTTGCGGCGAGTAGGCGGGCGAGTAGTCTAGCGACGGGGTGGCTTTCGACGGTACGCCAGACGATTCACGAGGGGCGTCCCCATGCTGTTAGTGAAATATCGAAAATAAATGCGTTAATGGGCGAGCGGGGAAATGGTTAAACACATAGTCAAATCGCTCGTTCTGTTCGCTGATTCATCGCGAACACAATTACATCGGTTATGGTATTTGCGACAGCCACATTCGTACGCCGAACGATCTGAATACTGCATTATGTACAGATATGTCAGTCTGAGTGAACACGACAAGGATGTAATCGTTAATTAGAGAAGCGCAGCATTTTTACTCGAGCGACTCAAGTATCGACGCGATTTTGGGATTGCGTTAAAGTGCAACAAGCTCGCTAGACGCAACACCATAAATATGTAATTGCGGCAGAGTTAATCAATTTAGTATACACGTTGTTAACCACATCTACTACTTTCTAAGATGTCTCTCTTCTAGCTACGAGACGGCCGTACCTTAAACTGCTGTTGCAGCCGATGCATTTCTTCCCTTGGTTCAGCGAGCTCGTTGTCTCTACTCCTCAGAAGCTGCATACTGTCCGCGCTGATGCCGCTGTCATTCGTCTCTAGCACTAGATGCGCTCTCAACTGCTTGTTTCTCGCGTCCAGTTGCATGATGTGTTGCTGCGCCTGAGCGAGCTGCTTCGACAGATTGCCCACTTTCTCCTCCAACGCGGCCGATTCTACGCACTTGGATGAATATTTCGCGGACAGGGAAAGAATCTCTTGTTTTATCTCCTCCATTTCTTCCCTGCAAAGTGTAAATAAATTATTTTATATACAAATTCTATATACAAATATATAAATTTTATGTAGAAATTTACTTGAGCCAGAGTAAAAATCAACAATGAAAATCTGTATATTACTCGTGCTCCTTGTGCAGCACGCCGATGTCCTCGCGCGCCTGCACCTGCTTGATGAACTCCTGCTTGAACTTGGCGATTTCCTTCTGCACCTCGTGTTCGTGTGCCTTCCTCATGGCGTCCAATGCAGCCAGAGTCGCTTGCGTCTCTTCGGAGAGCGCCTGCTCCTTCTCCACTCTCAAGTTTTCCAGCTCCTGCCGATGTTTCTCCTCCATCTCGGCGATAATGCGCCTGTGCGAGTTCTCCATAGCCAGCAAACCCTTCTCGCATAACGCGCGCAGCTGCTTGATCTCCTCCTTGTAACGCTTCCGGGTCTCGGCGTCAGTGTCCAGCTCGGTGCTTATCGATCGCTGATAGGCCGCCCTCAGCTCGTTCACGTGAGCCGAATGCTCCGAGTCCATCGCGTTCAGGCGGTGCTCCAATTTTCTGGCTCTCTCGCGCAGGCTGGCCGCCTCCTGCTCGTACTGCGTCGTCAGGGAATGACGCTGATTGTCCAACTCGCCCTTGATGTCCATCAGATCTCTCTCCTGGTTGCGCTTGAGCGCCTCCAATTCCTGATTGTGCTCGGCAGTTATTCGCTGAATGGTATTCTGAAGTTGGTCGCACGTTTGGCATGACGCGTCGTTCATGTGATCGCTAAGCTTTCTTATCTGTTCCCGTAAGTGCAGGCACTTGTCGCACACGCCCGACCAGTCCGCGATGCCGCCGGTCGACTTGGACCAAACGCCACTGTCGACGCTCACGCCCGCTCTGACCCTCATACACTTGCCGAGCTCGGCTAGATCCTCCTCGAGGTGATACAACGACTGACTGACGTTCTTCAGCTGCTCCTTCGACTCCCGCTTCCCGGATATCCTGTCCTCGCATTCCTTGGTCATCCGTTGGTAAAGGTAACTGTATTCTGCGTCGAGAATCGGGCTACTTTGGAAGTCGCATCCTTCGTCGTTCGCAAGACAGGAAAGAATCTCTTCGTTTCGAATAAGACTAGATACGAAAGTCTCCCCCGGGTACGCGGTGGACGGCTGTCGCGCGGTTTCCTGAAGAAGGGCGATTCTGGAGTCTATTAAAGCCTTGTGCGCGATCACGTCGGCGTAGTCCGTCAACAGCTGACGGGACTCGTGCTTCGCGTCAGCCGTCGTCGACTTGTTCTTCTTTATCGTGCGCAGACACTCCTCGTAAGCCTCCGACAGCTCGTGTATGGAGACCTCCATTTCTTGGCGCAATCTCGCCTGCACCGCGTCCACCCACGATTCCAGCCTGATATTGTCCGCGCTGTCGAAGCTAAGGCAGATATCCGTGATCGACGTGACGTTCTGCTCGTACAGCTGACCGTAGCGCATGATAACGTGGGACACCTCGGCCTGCACGAGTTCCTTGCTCACGGTCTCCTGCGCCAAGGCCCATGCCTCGCGAATACGCCTGTCCTCGAGCAGCTTCTTGTTAGAGCCGCCGCCGCCGGCGCCGCCGCCGGCGCCGCTGCTCTGCTTACTCACGAGGTCCTCCTGCTCAGACAGACTCAGCGTCTCGGTGGCCAGAGCCTCCGCGAGCTGTCGCAATTTCGTCTCCTTATACTTTCGCATAATCTCGTTAATCTCGCACTGCTTCTGCAGCAGGAAGTTGAGACTCTCGCTGCGAGCGGCGATCACTTCCTTCGACGACGTGTCCGTCGTCGCGGCGGCGCGTCCTATCAGCACTAACTTATTCGCTAACACCTTAGTGAGATACTGAATGTAATTCGTGTTTTGGTACGTTTTGGGCTTGGTTCCGTGAATCTTACGCTTTAAGCTTGAGGCAAGCTGACTAGTTTCGACCAATTCGCTTAGAACGACGCTCCTGTCCGTCGTGCGCGTCAGCGCGCACTTTATCTGCCGCAGAATCACGGATTCGTAGGCGATTCTCTCGGCGACGAGTCTCATCTTCTCCCTTTCGTCCAGCCGACCCTCCTGCGCCAGCGCCTGCCGTCTCTTTATGAGCTCGCACAGTTTGTCCTTAAGCATAGTTTCTACCCTAGACACTATTATCCCTACTGACTCGGTGACTTGTGCGCCAGCCTGGTTCTTCTTACACTCTAAACACGAGTCCAGTATCTCGTTCACCTCGCGCAAACACTTCTCGGCCTTGTCCTCCGCTTGCGTCGAGCCGAGACATTTTTCTAAACGTCGCTTCGACTTCGACACCACTCGCTCGAGCTTCTTCAGCCTCGCCAGCGCTTCCAGCGATATCTCGGGAGATCCGTTGATCTCGCTGCACTCGCTGGAATCCTTCTCCGCGTCGCTGATCATGGTCTCGGCGACATTCGCCACTTTCGTCTCCAGAGTGCTCAGTCTAATCAGCACTTTCATTGGTTCGGAACTCGTCGCGCTGTCCAACGATTTCCTTCGCAGTCTGCTACGGTCCAGATTTTTGCTCTCCCTCCTCTTCTCCTTCTTCGCATTAGGACTCGATTCCTTCGAGCTGTTGCCCGTCGAGGCAGGAGCGCTGATGCATTTGCCCTTCTCTATGGCGCTTATCTTGTTCTCCAAATCCAGCAATTTGTCCTCCACTTCTTGCGAAATCTGAAAAGACTCTCTTCCCTTGAGAGAAAGTGATCTCCTTTTATCTCTAGTTTCGACTTTTGTCAGCTTCTGCTTCAGCGTCCTAACTTGCTTTTCACTTGCGGCAAGCTTGTTAGTCAGATCCTGAATCCTCGCCGCCATCAGCTGAATCTGTGCTTGATTGTTCTCGGTGACGCCAGCTGTGTTCTGCTTATGAGCAAAGATTTCTAACTCCAAGACGTCCTGAGTGGCGTGAGCTTCTCGCAGCTCCTTTCTCATTGCTCGAATCTCCATGACGGCTTTTTCGAAGCGACTCCGCAGCTCGTCGTACTCCTCCATAACCCTGCAATAAGAAGAACGTTACGTCATGTGTGTAACCACGGATTGCGACACGCTATTATTATATATTTCACAACGCGCAATCACCTTTCCTTGTCCAATGCGGTCAAATCTAAGTCCAACTCGATGTTGGTCAGATCGCTGAGCGAGTCAAAGCTTCTTCCACGTTCCCTCGAAGCGGCGAGTCCATTTTCTCCTCCAATTCTCTCACTCTGTTGTACAGTTTTTCGTTCTCCTCGATGCCTAGTTCGAAAAATAATACATTTAATCATCACGTCACGAATTGAGTTCCGTTTCGAAGAAGAGTACTCACCTTGCGACAATCGGTCGCTGAGAGCCGCCACTTCCGTCTGCAGATGCTCGACGGTTCGGTGACTTGACGTCAATTCATTCGTGAGCATTTCGCATCTCTCCGTCGTCTCTCTCAGGATAGCCTCCGTTTCCAGCAGCTTACATTCCAAGACCTCCTTCTCCCTATTGTATACCTTCTTCATCTTCTCCAAGTCGTCCAGATCCTTGTTCCTCTGCTGCTCGGTCCTCTGTATCGTGTTCAGCAGTTCCTCCACCTGTTTCTCCCTGATGGACGCCTCGGCCTTTTGTTGTCTGAGCCTCGCCAACTCCTTCTCCGCGCTCGCGAGATCCGTGCGCGCCGCGTTCAGCTGCGACTTCAGGCTCTCGATCTCGTTCTCCTGACGCTCGACAATGACTAGTAACGTGCTCGGATGGGATTGATTCTGATCCAGCTGATCGCGCAGAAGCGACACTTGATTCTCCAGAAGCTCGACGATCAGAGGACTGTCATTGGCGCTCGACAGGCAGCTGTTGCTCTGCAGATGGCCGTTGCTCTGCTCCTCGTCCTCGCCGAGCTCGCAGCAAGCCATCATCAGATCCTCCGATCTTACGCTGTCCAGGGTGCTCCTCCGCGAGCTTGGCGGTGAGCTGCGGCTCCTCTTATAGACTCTCGATCGGGAACTCGATCTAGATCGCGCCTTCACCCGAGACAGCGCGGTCCTCGTTAAAGGCGGCGACGGTGGCAGATCCGACCACTCGTGGTTCGCCGAATCCGACCAGCCGGAACCCTTCAGCGCGATAGACCAGTCGCCGTTTCTCACGAGCGGCGGCGATACCGGCATCTCTGACCAATCGCCCGACTCTCTTCGTCCACCCTCGGACGCGGTTCTGTACTCCTCATCGGACGAGAACAGGACCGATCTGGGCGTGATGGACGTGGAGGGAACGACGGAGTCCCTTTCGCGGTCCGTGATGGATCTGCAACATATAGCAAATATATTATTTAACCATTTTGCTTAAATATTTATAAATCTAAAATTAATTATTTCCCTGAAGATCTTCTTAGATTTTTGCATCTATTATTTAAATTGCATATTACCTTTTGTAAAATATTATTTTATTTTAGCACTTTATCTCATTGATGCAAGATGTAACGTAAGAAATTGTGCGATAGCACTCACGTAGTAGGCGATTGCGGATTCGCCTCTTGTTGAGTGTCCGAGCAAACCGTGAGAGAATCTACATTGTCAGGATCAGGCAGATTGGCCGCTTTTCTGATAGCTGACATCCAACTGGATCTGATACCAGCGGTCACCGCAGACAGCACCGTGGTGCCTCTATCGTCCCAAGCCTACATCGAAAGTAAAAGCGGTAAGTATGCGCCGCACAAATGACACAAGTATAATTTTAAAATGCAACCGCTTGAAACTTTATCTTGAACATTTCGCGACTACTGTTGGCAATCGATAATATAAACGAAAAGCTCTTAATTTACTTTTTTTAAATGCTAAGCCTACCAAATTTTCTAGTATAAAATAATTTTAATATTCTAAACCATTTCTTTCTTTAAAATATAAAATTCCAATTCGCATCGCAGTAAAGAAAATGTAACTCCTGAACTTTTAAGAAACTTCTAAATTTCAAGTGTGGCTTTTAAATTGATGTAAATTATTTTTTCTCCCATTTCTTCTTAAAATTAACTTCTCCGATTTTTTTGAAAATAAAAGTTGCACTAAAATTTTCCAATTTGAAATAAAAACACGCATTATCATATTGCTTTACAAAGAATTGTTTCCCGGGAAACATAATTATCGTGTTACAATTGTAATACTCACGACAGTTTGAAATCCGTAGTTTCTCGCGACTTGAAGAGGCGTGACCGCGGTGACAGTGTTGAGGTCTATAACGCCGTCCATGATGCCCTTGTCTTCCGCGCAGGGATCCCTGTAATACATCAGTCCGCAGCCTCTCAGAACAAACCAGTGCTTGTTCCATTCCTAGACAGAGAAACGAATTTGTTAAGTGACGCGCGTGAAACTCCTCGGATTCTCCTCGCTTTCCAACCGCGAAACGCACCTTATTCAATCCCTGCTTCATCAACCAGCCCTTCTTGATGTTCAGCAAGTCCTCCGCCGGCAGATCGACTCTCAGCTCGGAGGTGGGCGAATATCTGCTGCCGGAAATATCCAACCCGCAACCGTCGGGATCGCCTCTGATCTGTACGTGAGATATATTTCGCAATTAGTTTTTCTTTTTTTTAATAATGAACATTAATAATTATCTCTGACAGAAACGCCATGTCTTTATTAAAAGACTTTAATTGTGTAGTTAAATAAAACAAAGAAAATAAAATTTGGAGAAGTTGAACAACATGTTCGAAGCTTTGTTAAATTTTACTCGCAAGCGTATTTACACTTTTTTTAAGTAATCATCATTTCTCAAAATAATTAATGATCAATGATATTTTTCATATTTTTCCATTACGTACAAGCTTATCTTGATGAGCCGCATTGACAGCGTCCACGACGTCCCTTGTCGGCTCCGAAGTTCTTGGTTTAGCTCTTCTCGCTCGTGGTTGCGTTAACGAGGCTGCTATATCCCGCAGCTTGCCCTCTCTTTCCCGCTCGTGCTCCAAAAGTATCCTCCGGCACGCGTCATCGTCTGCACATCATAATTCTCTATATTTCTGTTCTCTTTCCACCGTAACATAATTTTTTTCTCATCAAAATTATTTCGAAAACGTTAGCAAATTTACCTGTTTATCTATTTATTTCTTTGTTTCATTATGTCAACCAATTTACCTAACGGACAGTCTGAATTGTAGTTCAGAATCCAAGATCATCACGCGAGGCGAAACCGTTAAGCCGCTTTTCTGCGTTCGTTGTTATCAAACACTCGCCTCGGTACGTCGACGAGTTAACTAATTAATTTCTTTTCCGCTTAAGCGCCGCTTGTCTAACACGCTGACGCTGAAGGCACGAGCAAACGAGCACTCTGCATTAATTGATTGCCGACTAATTAATAACCGGGCTGCTTCTAGTCGGTGCGATGCCGCAACGAGCGTCAGCGTGATGCGTGCGCGCTTTCCTTTTTGTTTACCTTAGCAATATATCAAAAGCAAACACGTCATCGCTATATTAATGGCGCAATCGCTGCAAAAAATTGAACTGGTGAAAAAATTACAATAAAATATAACTGAATATCAATGTAAAAAAAATTAAGTTGTGTACCGGAGTTAAATAAGATAAACAACACTATAAAAATAAATTAGCGGGAAAATTACGTTAAAATAAATTTCTCTTTCGTGAGAGAAGCACGGTTTTCCTAATAAATCGTGGAACTCTCGCAAATAAATTCCACCTAGGAATTCTTCATCAGGCGCGATTAAGCCAACGCAGGTTAATCAGCGAATCTGCGGTTGAAATCTCCGGCGATTTCAACGCTGCGATAAGACACACACATTTCAATAATCCACGTTTGTTGTGAATCGTTAAGGAGATAGTTCGACGGATTTCGCATGTCTGCGGGTTTTTTTTTCGCGATTTCGCAGTTTCTAAAGTATACCATCGTTCGTTCGGTGTTAATCTAAATGAAATCTACGGCGTTATGGAGCGCAGCAGCCGAACGGCCGCAGATTCCTTTCGAGATTGCGCGCACGCAATTACGCAACGTATAACGCCGGATACTCCTCAAGAGAAAAACGCGCAAGTGAGAACCCGATTGTGTGAAAAATGTATGAAAACGAACAATAGAGTTTCCGAGGGTTTTTTCGCCAAAAATCATTCCGATTGTTGCGAGCAAAGTAATTATACAAAGGACGCGTTGCGTTGCTATATTCTCTATTTCTTTAAAAGATATGATTTTATTAACATAGCTTTCTATTATGTGCAACAATTAGTTCGCCGTAATTATACAACGCTTTTTCCTTTGCAATATGCAATTATATTGAATAAAAATAAACATATAGGTCAGCTCCGACTTAATACGTTAGCAGTTTCTTTCGCGCACTGCAAATCATCATCATTGAGAATGTAAAACGCAAAGTGGCAATGTCCCAGTTTCCATCCAGTATCTACTAAGTATAAACTAGTTTTATACGTCTATTAAGAACGAGAAAAACTTTCGACGTGAAGCGTGACAGGATGAGACAAACCTTTTGACAATTATAACGTCTGACGTATCTAACTTTCATATGTAGCACCTCGAAAAACATCTCGGAAATGAAATTATATTCTTTGCAAAATGATTTCAGCTCTCAGTTATTCATGTCCCAATTTCAACGTAATCTCTCTTTCTCGATACAGCACAAATCCATCTAGATAAAACGATCAAACTCACCATATCATCTTCATTAAATAATCGTATTAAACGATTTTGAAAGTAATATAATGAATAAAAATTAGTCATGAATATTAGCATCTGTAACTTGTCATCAAAAGTTTAATCGATTTAATTATTCAATTTAAAAAAATGTGAACAAATCACAAAACTCTTATCTTTCACGTGACAGAAAACAGAGTTATCTCACCGCGTGAATTATTAAGTACTGACCTAGTTTCTCGCTGATGGCCGCGCTGGGCGCGTCGCCGATGATGCCGCCCGTTCGCTCGCCCTGTTGATTCATTCTGCGTCTGGCCTTGTCCTCGGCGCGAAGCTTGTCCCGAGTCGGCGGCGATGCGCTACTAGCAGGTTGATCCCGATAGCTCGATCTCGCACTGTCGCAGGGGACCATCGGCGGTTTCTCAGTCAACGAGACGACGCTGCTCGTCGTTGTCGCAGTCGAGATGGTCGCCGGAGTCGTCGAGTAAACCGTGCTGCAGATACTGCCGTTCAATGACGTCGTCGTCGACGTCGCGGTGGTCAGGTAGCTTCCGGTGGAGCCGTTCTCGAGAGGCGTCCCGCTACGCAAAGACGGCAAGCTGTTCCTGACCTCGGCGACGCTGTCCGTGTTGCCATTGGACAGTACGCTGCTGCTGGTGGTCGTGGCGATGGTCGTCGTCGCCAAAGACGGCGTCGATGAGAACACCGAGGAGCACAGATCTCCCGTGCCGCTACTCGTTTCGGGAATCCATGCGCTGCTGTTACGCGGCTCTGATCGGCAGCTATTGAAGCGCGGTCGCGGCGGATTTGGCGTATTACCTGCGAATTAAGTTTGTTACGTTTTGTAAAATTCATTATGTTTGTTAAGCTTCGATATTATAATTATTCAATTTACATTTCCTCCCTTAAAAAGTATAACATACATTAAACTGCACTCACAAAAAATAGATAACACTTTTCAGATACTCAAAATTGAGTATAAAAATTAAAAAAACGTTTCAAAACTTGAAGTTTGTACTTTTACATGCGTTAAATCATTTTTTGAAAATATTTTATCTTCATACTTGTGGACCCAAAAAAAGAACATTGTTATATTTCTTAACACATTGTTTCTTAAAATTATATGTATTTTCAACATTCTGCAGTTTGATAACAAAATTTTTTTCCAAAATTTTATAAAAGTGATAAAAACTACGATTCTTTATCTGCAAAACAAGTGTTTCCAAATGTTCCTACGATTTTTTTAGCCGAGTTAGCGACTTTGAAGATAAATCTATATTTTTATGGCATTGTTACTGCTGATGATAAATGTTATTTTTCACCAAACAGGACCAGTTTGATGCTTTAAAACGTTTCATGTTTTTCAAATGAATTATTCTCTAATGAGGAAACATACCTGAATGTTAATTCAACAATATATTTATAATTGTTTTTTGAAATAGAGTTTAATCATTCCTGATATAGAATATGCATAAAAAAAAGTATCTAAAAATTTTTTGAAAAAACTACTATTTGAAACACACGTGTTATCGATTGAGTCTATTATCAACTCGATTGGCTCAGGTGTTATTCAGATCCGATAATCTCGGGCTTTTCTTATCTCGTGGGCTCACATATATGTACACGGTCGGTCCTTCGTTGCGATACGTGCGGACTTGGCGCGAGATACGACCGTGTCTCTTGATAGGTCACTGACCTATATAGACCACGACCCGCTACTACCGGCCAGCTGAACAGCTGACGTAGTAACGTAACAGTTACGTAATCGTATACATATGTGCGCGCCACACGTACACATGCGTATCGCGTTCATTCAAAGTGAGCGCGCGTCAAATTTTTAGAACGTTAGAACTTGGCGAAAAATTGACATAGCAACATGCGGTAAAAACTGCTGTGCTTTGCATTCCGCAAATATCTATGTTTAGTGTATATATTCTTATCACACCACACGCATCTATGTAGAAACACTTATAATAAAATATAAAATATAAAAAAGCTTTATTTGACAACTTCAAATGTCAATTTATTCGTAAATAATGTTTAGCTTATGAAAGTTGAATTCAACCTGTCAAAAAAATTTTTTTAGGTATTGATGTTAATATGTAGATATTTGAATATTTCTGCACTTTACTGAGCAGTCAGTAACTCGCTAAATTTATTATACATTTTTGCAATACAAGAAACATTTAAAAAATCAAAATCACACATACACAAAATATATATTAAAGATAATTCTCTCCAAAGTTTGAATAAAATTATAGATTCTATCGTGAATTAGATCGTCTCGGGTTTTATGCATCACAAATGATATTAAAGCATCACTACTTTACATCATATGTGATTCAACTAGAATTAATCGGCGCAATCTCCGTTAAAAATAATTGAAATGGATCTAATTAGGCAATCAGAGACAACAAGAACTTCGCAATCTTGAAATTGGAGGTAACAAGACGGCAGTGGCGTGAAAGTAATAATAATCGTGCACATTGTGAAGAAGATATCTACCTTCTCTTTCCCGCTAGTCATCTTCCTATTATTTATATTCATTCTCCCCTGTCACACGCATCCCATGCAATATTCACCACGCTGAAATTGCTGCACATTACGCCTCTCGTTACATCAAATTGCTTGCGTAAAGACTTGTGTCCGTGCAATATCAGGTTTTTTTTTCAGAGAGCGAAATACAGAGAGTGAGATAGTAATTACGCCATCGTTAACTACCGGCGTGGAAATATCCGCGCGTACGTGTGTATTACCGTGAAATTTGCATAACATGAGCGGTTGGGCACTTACTTCGAATCGTTGGGGTAACTTGCAGAATCGTCGTCTGTCCGCCGGGGAAGGTTGCGTTTCGCTTGTGCCGACCCTGAAAACCACAGAACGCACATCGTGAGGAAAAACAATCAACAAGAGAATTTTCCGCAGATTCTATTATTAGATAACAGAGGAATCTCGAGCGTGTTCCTCCGCCGTAACAAACTCGCCTAACTAAATAATCGATCGTGACGAAGAATGCGCGATTTGTAAAGCGATCCGCGTGATCACGTTTATCCGTACTCATAATCGTGAGAATATTACAATCCGCGAACGCGAGCGGATGTATTCTGTCGGAAAACATTTCATCAAATTCGGACACACGGATCGAGAAAGCGCGGTAATCAGTGGTCAATTAATAATCAATACATGGCATTTATTTTAATTATTGATTGTTTATCAAATATTATTAATCAAATAAGTAATATTATCATTTCATTTATCTTTAACATTAATCCATATAATATTGTCTTCGTATATTTTTAGTTCAAAGAAATTACTGTTACAAACTGAATTCGGGGAGTCTCAAGGTGTAAAATAATCAAGCCTCTTTTGCGCAGGTAGGCAGCGCTGCGAGTCGAAGGACGATGGAGGACGGGGAAAGAGAGTAAATCGCAAAAAATGTGAAAAATAACGCGGGAGTAGCGTTTCCCTCGCGCTTGCTGCGCTAAATGTCGCGCGGAGCGTATATGCATCTCGCCTTGGCCTCGTAATGTAATCGTTCGTTTACACCGGCGGCACAGGTCCGCGACAACGAGGTGTAGCCGATCGTTGCTTGCGCAACGGAATTACATGTAGTAATCTTGCACGAACAATGTGAGTCCGCGACGGGATCCTAAACGGTTCGCGCGCGCTGAGACGATTGATCGATCGATGGTCGACGCGAAACTCGCGAGCGCAGAAAACACTCCATTCTGTTCTGAAGAGATAATTATCGAGCTGTTGCGAGAGAGCCTCGGATGTGCGCGAGCGCTGTACGAAGAAGAATGCTTTTTGTCTGAGAATTACAGATGTACAAGCTTTAACACACATGAGCGTTATAATGCACAGCTTGGATAATTTACGACACGTCGGGCTTTTTGCACAGTAACGTTCGCGTGATTTGAAATATTTCTCGCTGTCAACAACTTGTCAAAAACAACAAAATATCACGAAATATCAGTAATTATATATTATTACAAAACATACAGATAACTGCAAAAAAGTCATATTTCTCAGTAACAATTTTTTGTTTATGCAAGTTTATTTAAGCAAAAATATCACGAGAGAAAGGGAAAAAATATTAGCTAAAATACAAGATATGTCACAACACACATGGAACATGCTTATTGTTAGAGAAGTTTTTTTTGAACACATTGCGTGTTGTATGTCCGAAATAAAATATCTTCTAGCAAGATCTGTTCCTTCCACATTGACACGATCGTCCGCTATGTCTGCATCAAGCCGCAATAACTCATGCTCCACGTTTCGTACAAGAAGTGCCGAATGAAGAGATATTTTTCTGCTCGCCGATCGATCATTTCTTGCGTAACGCGCGTTGTAAGTTCCGAGCAGTAATATCGAGCGACAGCTCCTGAGCGGTTCGATTTACGGCTGCTGATTGATTGGAGAGTTCACAAGCGGACACCTCCGCGCAATTTAATAGACACTCGAAAAATGGCTAGAAAATTATACGGGGTCATCGACGCGGCGCTGGCCCGGCCCGAATTTCGTTCCGACTCGCTCGCGCTCGTACCTTGCGCAACAGATACGCACGCGGCGTAAACATTTGCATGTGTTGTAAATCTTGAATCACCGACACACGCGAAGATCGAGCAAACAAATCTCGCTTTAGCAACAGTTATTTTACGATCGCAACAATTGGCAGCGCACATAAAATGTCACAAGTTAATTGCCGTGTAGCAATGTGAAATGTCAAGAATCACCTACGTTTCAATTTATTTGCGTAATAAATGAGATATAAATACAAATATGAATGCGTTGGTAAATAAATTGTCAAAACAAGATTTCAATTCTACGAAACGCGACAAAAATGTTACAAAGAATTGAAACAATTTTAATTATTTAACCACAACAAACTCAGCTTTAACGCGTCGTAATTGATAGAGTTGCCCCAGTTGTAAGGCTGCTTTTACGACCTAGAAACGATTTCTCATGTCCAGCCTGGCACGCCAGGCTTCACCGATCGCGTAGCAGCGAGTGAAACCGGTGCACTCTCCATTTGTCACCATGCGCTTTCCGTCGTCAGCTGAATAATAGCGCTCCTTTTTGCGACGCCCCGGCGCGGCGTTAAGCGACGGTGAAAAGAGAAAACCGGGGGGGCTTCTTTAGAGATCGCGAAAAGACGAATGAGTCGCAGGAAGGAGCCAATCGACTCGGCTGACAATCCGCGAAACGCAGCCTCGTGACAACTCGCGCACTACCGCCGCTTATTGTTGAGATAATGAGCGCCGCGGTATGCATCGGTCGGCGCGGCGATTATGCGAGGCAACGTCGGCAGTTTCACTGTCGCTTACACTATTTTTTTCAAGGCCCTTTCAAGCACCGACAGGCACAATCACACTCAATAACCGCTTCATCATGCGAAAGCGCTCGCCCGCCCGTTTATGAACTCGAGACGCACTTTTACGCCGCGTTCTGTCCTACATCGCCGCTAATTCTGTGACGCACAATGGCCGCTTTTATATAACCGGAGACAGCAAAGCTATTTTTGCCAACAGCATTTGAGAAACAGTGAATATTGACTAATTAACTAATTTTGCTAATTCTGAAAAAAAATATAGAAAATCAGACCAATTAAGATTAAATGTATGTTAATTGTAATATTTCCAATTTTTTTCAATGGCTAATTGTCTTATTATAGATCACTGAATTAATAATATATTATTAAATATATTTATCAGAAAATTAAAATATATCCGTTAAAATATTATCGGAAAAAGTGACATTTAAAAAACTGAAGATTTGCATGTGCTCTATTTAATAACACTTTGGATATCTAAAAATAAATTAATTAGAAAATTAATGAATTGACAAACAAATCTACGCATCTCAAAGCAAGTCTAGAATTATTCCAGCACAGAGTGAGTCAGATTGTATTATAATTTCAATAAAAAGTTCCATGTGAGTAGCAAAGTGAACACGTTAGAATAATCGTTAACGCTTTTCAGATTCTCGCGTTACACTGAATAGGTTTCCGGCACTATCTATGAAACCCTATTAAAACTAATCCCGTCGGCGTGAAAGGACGTCACACCGGTGAAGAATCATTCCCGCACACGTAACAAGCACACGACGAGAACGAGAGAATGTACATACGGGCAGGTAATGATTATGCGAGAGCACCCGCAATCAGCCGATGCCTGCGTTTCTACCGTTCGCGTGACTCCGCTGCCCTCGCGCAACGCTCTTTCGGAGATACGTAATACGGCGTTGATACACCCGTCGGTTGTATCCTCCGTAATCGACAGAAAATTAAATTCCCTAATGATACACGTACGACGCCATTCTGTATTGCAAGTGTACATTACGCATCGACGCACGACCGAGTTTCTCCCGCCGCGGCTATCGAGCGCGAATCATTTTCTCCAATCGATAGTTTCTCTCGTAATTTTATGCAGAAATTAGACTGCGCCTGCTCACTGTGGCAGTTCTTGACGCATTTTATTAAGCTGCATCGGGAATAACTCAATTCGAAATTCTCAATTCTCTCTTTTATTTACAACGATTATTGAAATTTTTTATATCAACTTTGATTCCCTGCGGGAAAAAAAGTTAAAAAAAAGTCTGCAGTATTTCTAGCGTGTTGTGTCACAGTTTCTAAAGAATAATTTAGCATTAATTTTACGCGCGCAAGCGAAAGGGAAAGACAAGTACGTGTAGATATTAAACTGAACCAACCTTATTTCGCGAATACACCTGAAGAACGTCCGTCCACCATCTGGTCTCCTCGCGACACGTTCCCTTGACGAAGGTCGCACCCTCCGGCGAGGTGACGGCGAGGCTGTAAGGGTGTCCTGTGACGTCCTCGGCCGCGGCCACCTCCAGGACGCGAGTCATGTCGATTCTCGCTTGAGGCACCGTTTCGGGCTGCAACAATCAGAAGAACCTGATGTGAGTCCAAGAGGAGAAACGTTCTACTTCATGCGGGATTGCGGCGAGTTAACGTAATGGGCCGTCAAATTAAGCGAATCTCTAATCACGCGTTCTGACACGCGGCTATCGCTCGCGCAAAAACCGGCGGTAATAAGACGCCCCGACAATTCGCGCGCACAGTAAATATGCAGATGTGCGATTCACGTACGCGAAAATACACACGGCGGTAATTATGTGTCATCCGTCACGTCCGCCGTCCGTCTCGTTATTAAGTCCCCCGTAACGAGAGGGGAAGAACAATAATGGCAACGATCACCGACGACACGCACCGTCGCACCGCGGCCGCAGAGCGCGCCGCATTTTTGTCGCGCTCGATTCTTTCTTGCCGGCGAACGGCCACTTCGCACGAAATTGCACGCGCATTACGCACGGCGCTGCATTCGGCCGGTTCGAGCTACGTCTCGCGGGCTCGCTTTACCGGAAACGTATCATTTCAGCCGCGATAGGGGCTGAAAAGCAGCCCGGTCGCGCACAGCCGACTATTTTCCCGCGGCCGTAAAAATCCGGAGGCGGGAATAACGCCTTATTGCTATTCCAGCGCGGCACTTCGCTCCTCGTAAAACGAAAGTGAGTCCCATCGGTGATCGTGCAATTGCCGTCAATTTGAGCGGCGGCGAGGGGGAGGAGGAGGGGGGACGCACAGAATACGAGCGGCGCGAGAGGGACATCGCGGGGAACAGGACGGGGAAAGCGGTCGCGGGTTTTGCACGCCGCTCTCAAAGCGCACTGTTTGCGATCGCCACGGGCACTTTACCGCGCAAAATGCACCCGGGAATGTCACCGCAAATGCAACCGCCGCTTGCTTTACGTGAACGAGCCCATCTACTTGCGTCGAGCGCGGATCGCTTTCGTGCTCGGGTAATGCTGGAGTTGAGTAACGCTCGAGCGATGAAACGGGCAATAAAGACTAATGGTTGATTTTTCAGTAATAAATTGAGCGAGAAAAAAGAAAATGACGGCCGTTTCGACGTCAGTCATAACATCATAATATCATTATCGATAAACGTCAGCTTGGGATCAAGTGCTAAACTCACTTTTTAATAAAATTATTATTTAAATTTACAATTTTAATGTAAAAAAAACACAGTTATTGATATTATAACCGAGAAGTGTTGCGTTTACATTTCTTAAATATTATTTTCATTCAAAAACATCGTTGTATTGCAAAAGTTAGAATAATAACAAATTCGATCGCATCACACGAACACATTCTGATGCCTATTTGGGAGAGACAAAGGCATTCATAATGCCGAATGTATCACGCCGCGAAACAGCGCGCATAATTCAAAGCACCGCGCAATGCGCCCGACTGCAATTTTTCTCGTGCTCGAGCAGCGACATTATTCTTGAAACGCGAGAGGTTCATTTGCACAGCGCATCTCTCTCGGCGTTTTGCGCGCCTACATATATTTACCGCTCGCGTCGGGATGATGCAAAAATCTGCATACGAAAAATCCCTCCTTGTGGTGCGCATAATTAATCGCGGAGAAAGATGCTCGGGGAGAAGCTTATAAGAAAAAAAAAAAACTAAAGGAATGCAAGAAGCACGCAAGGCAAATAATATAATAAAAAATTATTAATAGCGATATTGTGCCTCTTCTGATATCTCGTATGCATTTTGTATTTATTCAAGATGTAATGAAGAAGACGATGGAAAGAGGTCTTGCAAAATTATAGATACCTGCCATATTGTGGCACCTTTCAATACCTTCTGAGCTACGTAATGATTTTCTATCCTTTCGCTTGACGAGGCAGCCAGCACGATCTCTGTTTGTTTGCTTACGTTGCCTGACGTGTACGCGACATTATGTAGGTTGCATTAAGGTGAGCCCGCGGTGCATTACACACACGTGTGTTATACGCGTTCGCGCGATTGCGTAAAACCGCGCGAAAACTTTTTGAAAAATGTAAGAAAGCGGTAAACAAGCGCAAGAAAGTAATGAGTACAGAGTTCGATCAATCATTTTCGCAGCCACTTACTCTTTACGGGAATTCAAAAGGTAGCCAGGTGGATAAATGTAACATAATTTTCATTTGAGTGGCTATCCATATGTTTTACACATGATTTATGCTCGGTTTGTTTAATGAATTCATAACTTTACTCGCATGCTCTTGCGAATGCGCTTGAGTTTATCGAAAATATCCTACGGCCACTACAACAACATATAGATAACAAATCAATCAGGCTTTTTATGACTCCGTGTTTGTGATTAGTGTAGAAGTGCGAGTACACAGATCGTTATACATTCGCATATAAATATATAGAGAAAAAAGAGGCCACAAGAATCAAAACGCGGATGTCGGCGCGCAAACAATTTTATTATCAATCAATACAAATTAGTAATACCGATACAGAATTGCCAATACTTTTTTTTCTTATTGTAGAACCATATGTCATTCTACTGTCTGATAATAAATTCTGAAACATTGAAACGTCTACTAATCTCGTATTAATTAATTAATTGCGCGGTGAAAAATATATGCAAAAAATTAATATGTGATACTAAACAATTGTCAACAAATTTTCAACTCTTTCTACTCATTCAATTTTACAGAAGTAATAATCGATTATTTTACATCAATTTTAATCTTGATTTAATCGATAAAATCAAACTTTAATTTTTTTGAAAGTTTTCGCAAAAAAAAACAGCGTGGATAAAATGTTTTTACGGAAATTTTAATCGTGTTGATTGTCATCTTTATCTTCGATATTTAATAAAATTTATATTTTATATTAACGTTGAAGCATTCTATAAAGTTTTAGTTGGTAAAATTATTTTTCAATCGGAGTTCCTCTTTCTCCTTTAGGAATCTGTTTGGCCGCAACTGCACCGTGTAAATGATTACACCCTCCTCGCATACATCTCGCAGCACCAGTCGTCTGCGTTTCAAGCGAAAGATCAAAGAACTCTGAGTAGCGCGATTACTGCGAGAAAGGACGTGACGCGCGCGCGAAGAACGAGAACCAGAGAAAATCCGAGGATATTAGATACGGTGCTGCTCCCATATACTTGCCTTCGCCTATGTGGTAGGGAAATGTGAAAGACTTCGCGAAGACGTTGCGTCTACAAGATCAATGTGAGCTTTGCGAAACATCTCAAAACAATAATAATCCATTCAGTCGGTGAAATCACGCTCGTGAATATCACGACGATATTATGCAAAATTGTTAAAAAGTCAACGCGTTCAGCATTGTGGTAATCATTTATCTATTAATATTGACTCTTATTTCATAATACTTATAAAAATTCATTAAAAATGATAACAATTTATCTAGCAAATATCACGAAATCATCAAAAACTGTCGAGTATTGTCATGGAATTTTTTTATTCTTTAATAACATTACCGATGGGTGAACATATCGTCGCAAAATGTTGCAAAGCTATAATTATCTTGACCGCCTTTAAAATGAAATGCACGACAAACGCAATGACACTCGCGATGCTCATTATCCGGTGCAGAAATGAGTGTAAAAAAAAACTGGGATATTTTTTCGTATCGCGCCAACATCTTGCACGAAGATCGAAGTAAGGCGTAAGACGGTTACGTTCCCGCAGAACGGACAAGTGTGAAAGAAAATTCGTGACGTGTATTAAGTCCGCACCGCCGGCACGAGTCTCCATTAAAGCAGCGCCGCCGCTCCGATATGCTCTCGGATTATGCCGGTAACGAACGAAGGGATGCACATCCAACGGAGCGATATATCACAGGTCCATGCGCGGCCGTTACGTACACAGCGAGACCGCCCTGCTCTCGCTTTTTGTTCGCCGGACATGTTTATTGGCAAGAAGTGGGTCGGCCCTTTCGGTCGGCTTCCCGTTTGCTTATTAAAGAGAAAATGAATCGTATCACAGAATCACCGCTACGCTTCTGCGAGCTTGTATCGAGAACCCGTCGACATTGGCGCAGATTAAAATTTTCATGAAAATCAGCAATACAGCCAAAAATTTTAAGAATATTATAATGTGATAGAACACGCATCATATGCCTCGTTATGTATTATGAGTATTATTTTTTAAAATTCGGGATTATAATCGTCTTTTGCAAAGTCATCTACAAGTTAAGGCACTGATCGGCCGTGCAAATAACAAAACAATCGTTATCTTCTTTGCATTTACGTGCAAACATATTGAATTTATATTAACTAGACACATCAGCATGCGCTACGCGCGACATTTCTTTTAATTACAAAAAAATATATAACTATATCTTGAATAAAAATAATATTATAATATCACCATTACTTATATATTATTATACCACCATTATTGTCGCAATTAATTTGTTAACTTGTTCTGATTAGTTCTCTGATTGGGCCATCAAAGGATTTCTCATTCAGCACTGTTACAAAAAGTCCAACTTACATTTAGATTACGATCTCAAAATTTCAGATGAATTAAATAAGTCAAGAATCGAATTTGAACTTAAAATTTAAGACTTGATCCACTTTAAAACTGAACGCCTAAATCATGAGTAAAATTTTTCTAATTTTTAAAGATATTTGTAGTAATTATAAAAATTAAACTACATTAAGAGTAATTAAATTTCTAAATAATAATTATTGTAATTATTTTCCAAAATATGCTAAGCATCTCGAATTTTATACGTATCAAACTACACAATAATGCAAAATATCACGTGATTAACGCTGTAATAAACAATTCCTTGCAAAATTCTACCTTCAAATAAGAAAATGACACACTCTTATAACACATTTATTTGTATTATAATGAATATATTATGTATCACATAAACATTTCTCAAACAAATACAATTTTAAAATTTCAATTCATATATTTCACCGACGATTACTGTATTACATTTCGGAAACTTTTACAGAAGTTATAGTAATAAATTCACATTATATAAACAGAAAAAACAACAAATATACAATAAAATATTTAAAAAAAATATATTAACATTAAGTATTTGA